TATCCACTTGTCTCAGCACCATTTGTTGAAGTCTTCTTTCCCTGCTGAGTTGCCTTAGCGCCCTTGTTGAACTATGATCCATTCTGATTAATTTTTGTATGAAAGATGAGAAGTATGGATGGAAATTCTTTCTTTCCTTTTTTCTTCATATGATAGCCAACTGTTCTAACAATGTTGTTGAAACATGATCCTTTCTCCATTGAATTGCCTTTGCATCTTTGTCAAAAATAAATTTTCCGTATATGTGTGGGTCTAATTATAGATCACCTATTCTGGCCCATTGATCTATTTGTCTACCTTTATAACAATCCACACCGTCTCTTACAGTGACTTTATAAGTCTTAAAAATCAGGTAGTGTAAGTCCGCAACTTTGTTCTTTTTAAAGTTGATTTGATATTCTAGGTCCTTTTCATTTCCATATGAATTTTAAGATCAGCTCATCAATTTCTACAAGAAAAGCCTACTAGGATTTTGACTGAGAGCGTACTGACTCTGCAGAGCAAATGGCAGAACTGATGTCTTAACGATGTGGAGTCCTGATTCATGAACATGGTATGTTCCTGCATTTATTTTCATCTTCCTTGATTTCTCTGAACATTGTTTTATAGTTTTCAGTGTACAAGTCTTCCAAATATTTTGTCAGATTTATGCCTAAATATTTCTTAGTTTTGGATGTTATTGTAAATGTATTTTTTTCAATTTCAATTTTCAGTTGCTCATTGCTAGCGTATAGAAGTAAAATTATTTTCTTGTATTTTCAGCTTATATTCTGCATTCTTGCTAAACTCAGTTATTAGTTTTAGCAGGTTTTTTGCAGATTCTACAGGACTTTTTACATGGACTGCCATGTGCAGTTTCAGGTGTACAGCATGATTCAATATTTGTATATATTGCGAAATCATCACCACAGGAAGTCTAGCTAACATCCATCACCACACATACTTACAAATCTTTTTTCTTGTGATGTGAACTTTTAAGATCTACTCCCTTAGCAACTTTCGAACATACGGTACAGTATTATTAACGATGGTCACCACGCTGTACAGTACATTCCAGGAACTGTTTATTTTATCTCTGGAAGTTTGTGCCTTTCAATCCGCTTCACCCATTTTGCCCACCCAACCACCAATCTGTTCTCTGTATCTATGATTTCACTTTTTTTTTTTTTTAAGATTCCACGTACAGGTGAGATCATGCGGTATTTATCTTTTTCTGTCTGAGGTATTTCATTTAGCATAACGCCTTCAAGTTTCATCCACGTTGTCACAAATGGCAAGATTTCCTTCTTTTTTATGGCTGAATAATATTCCATTGTATGTATATATACATATATGTATATGTATATATACACCACATTTTCGTTATCCATTCATGCGCTGATAGACACTTACTTTGCTTCCATGTCTCGGTATATTGATCAAGTTCAATATAAAACCAACCTTTTGTTTCTGGGATAAACCCCATTGGGCCATGGTATGCTTTCCTTTTTACTTATTGTTGGATTCTGTTTGTTAAGAATTTTTGCATCTAAGTTCGTGAGGGATATTAGGCTGTAGTTTTCTTTTCCTGTAATGTATTTATCTGGTTTTGGTATCAGAATCATGGTGGCTTAACAGAATGAGTTGGAAAGCATTTCTTCCACTGAAATTTTCTGCAGGAATTTGTGTATAATTGCCGTTATGAACTGAATTGTGTCTCCCCCAAAATTCGTATGTAGGAGGCCTAAGCCTCAGCATCTCCGAATGTGACTGCAGCTGGAGACAAGGTTTTAAAGAGGTGAGTAAGTTCAGATGAGGTCATTAGGATGGTCTCTAATGCAATATGACTGGTCTTCATAAGAAGAGGAAATTTAGACACATGAAGAAACAGAAGGGATGTGCATGTACGGAGAAAGACCATGTCAGGACACAGTGAGAAGGGGCCACCTGAGAGCCAAGGAGAGAGGCCTCCGAATGAACCTGCACCTGCCGACACCTTGATCTTGGACTTTCAGCCCCTAGAACTGTGATAAAATAAATTTCTGTTGTTTAATCTACCCGGTCGTCGTCCTTTGTTACGGCAGCCCCCTAGCAAACTGTTACAGTTGGTATTATTTCTTCCTTAAGTATTTGGTTAAATTCACCAGTGAAGTTATCTGGAGTTTATTTATGAGAAGGTTTTAAACTACACACTTCTTTAACAGACGCAGGGGCTGTTTCCAGTTGAGTGAGTTTGTGTCTTTCAAGGAAATTGACCATTCCATCTTCGTTGTTGAATATATTGTCTTACATTCATTTAAAAACAAAAAAAATTACAAATAAGAAAATAAAACTACCAGTTATCCTACTGTCTAAAAATAGCCATTACTAATATTTGGCTGTGTATCCTTCCACATAATATTTACATGTGTGCACACCAACCTCCTCACTACCCCCCCACCTTAATATCCAGACTTTTTTTGGTTTGGTTTTGTTAAAGCTTTGAAAACATGATTATGGATAGATGGTTAATAATTTGCCTAGCTAATTTGGGGGAGTACATAAAGAATGCCACAGTCTGCATCCTTTTTCATCTGTCTCTGGGAACAACTCAGGTTTACATCTCGGTTTATAGTTCCCGAAGTGGAATTACTGGGTTGACCAGTTTACTATTGACTTCTGATATTGAGCACCATGTGCCTGGTAGGGGGAGGGTGGCGAGAGGGAAGAACGCATCCCCCCTCAGGGATCTACCTCTCTGCAGACCGGCCCAACCAGCTCAGCCAGCGGGAATGCGAGATAAGAACATGGCAACAGGGCTTCTCAGGTGCTCTCAGGGGTCCTGCGCTCCAGCCGTGCCCTCCTTGGCGTAGATCTAAGTGACTCCTGGTTACCTGCACGTTGGAGGCTGTATCTGCAGTGTGTGGGCTGTACTGGGCCCCACTTCTTGGTTCCTCCTCCTTTGGAGTGAGTGAGGTCATTAAGAGGCTTGTGCAAAAACTCAGGTGAAGACTGAAGCCAAGCTTTGTGCAGACAAGTGAAGGCAGAGCCCAGCCTTATCCGTCCATCACTCTCAGTCCTCAGGGAGTTCCCAGTCTGACGAGGCAGGTGCAACCTCTGTCCCATGGGGAACCCCTGGGCTTTGGAAGGAAGTTACTGTCCCCTGTTCTCCGGGAGCCCCAGTCTGAGTGAAGTGTCAAGGTCCACAAACCAAAATGTGTACAGTCACCTACGAACGGCCGTACAAGCAAGTGCAGACCGACGCCTTCCGTGCAGGGGTGTGACTGCACGCAGGGGGTGGTTTCCTAGGATAACTTCCTGGGAAAGAGAAGGGCCTGGCTCCAGAGAGAGGAAGCTGGGTGGGGGAAGGACGGGGCCTGGGAGAAGGGGGAATGACCGGTGGGATCGGCCACCTGGCTGTCTTGCCAGGGCCAGAAGAGGAAGTTGGGAAAGCTAGAGGGAGGATGGGAAGTCCCAGGGGGTCTCTTCTGTCCTTGTCAGCAAGTTGGGGACATTAGGAGAGAAGGGCCAGTGTGAAGGGGGGGATTGTTTGGAGTTTTAATTTCCAAGAGTACCTTCTCTCCCCCTCCCTCGTTCCCCTTTCCACCACCTCAAGGCTGGAGAATGGGCTTACGCTTGACAAATATCAGATCTTTATCTGAACACCTACTCATCACAAGCCCCATGCCACAGGACACCTGCCACCTGTTAGCATAATCCTCACTCAGGAGGCCTGGTCCCATCCGTGCTACGGCGGAGGACACAGAGGCCAGGGAAGAGAATGATCCTGCCGGGATCTCACAGCCAAGAAGTAGGGGTGCTGGGATCAGAGTCCCTGTCAGCGCGACAGTGTGAACCTCCAGGGGCCCTGGGGCTCCAGCGCCCCCTGCTTCTCTCCTGTCTGTCTTTCCCACACACATGCCACCTGCCAACAAGAGGCAAAAGGCACTGACTCCCAGGCCACCAGGCTCTCAACCAGAGGTGACTGTGCACCTCAGGGCACATCTGGGCGATGTCTGGAGGCATTTTTAGTTGTCACAACTTGGAGAGGTGTGGGGAGAGAGAAGCATGGGGAGGGAGCTACTGCGGGGTCTAGTGGAGGAGGCCAGGGATGCTGCTCAGCACCCAGGATGCCTAGGACAGCCCTCCAACAGAGGGGTGTTGGGCCATAGGACAGTGGTCCCGGGCCCCTCCAGTCTCAGCCAGATGTGGGCACCAGCATGCTTGCAGATGTGGGCAGAGAGTTCTCTGCAGATTCTGGATTAAAGCCCTTCCAGATGTGGAGGGGTGCCTTACAGACACGGCACATCCACACGGAGGGCCTCCCTGACAAAGATTCTGTCCTGGACCAAACTCTACTCAGGCTTCCTCGATCTCTTTTTCAATTAGGTCTCAACTTTTGGACTCTGGGTTCCTCTCTGCATTGTCTGATTTTAGCAAGAATCCTGCTGTCAGCTCAGCCAGGATCCTCCTCAACATCTGGTGGTGTTCTTCACTCGCCACCCACCGCAGGTGTTGTCTGATCACCCCGACCCACCACCAGCAGGAATCCTGGTGGGTGGGTTTAGCCAGAATCCCCTCTGCCACCGATGTTTTCTCTTGGTAGTTTTCTATCCACTGCCCCTCACCTGCTCCTTGGCTATGAACCCCCACTTTTCCTCGCTGTCTTTGGAGATGAGCCCAATCTCTCTCTCCCACTGCCAGACCCCGTTGTAGTGGTCCCCACACACATCCGACGGCCCCCCTTGAACAGAGTCTGCATCACTGTATTACTGTGCTTCAGCAAGTGTCATTGAATAATTTTTCTTTACCACCCCTTTCAGATGGAAATAGAGAGGCCTTTGGGCCAATTTCCTTCCAGATGCCCGGGGAACGGTCAACTCCTGGTCAGGTGCTTAAACTCGTACTCCCTGCAGGCCAGGGCACCCTGGTAGGACTGGACCAGGTCGCTGTGGGCAGGGTGGTGGTGGTGGGAGGAAGGGGGTGGAGCCTCCTTTTTTTAGGGTGTGTGTCACCTGCCTCCTACCCAGGGGCATCGCCCCGGCACTACTCTGCCAGTGTGCGTGGCAGCGAGCTGGGGCCTGCCCCCCAGGGCCTTCGGAGCAGATTGCGGACCTTGCGAGCCCTATGTTGCTGGCCTCTAGGAACCCAGAACATGGCAGATGGGGCGCAGGCCAACCCCAAAGGGTTCAGGAAGAAGGTGCTGGTTAGCTACCCCTCTGGGCGGAGGGGCCCAAGTCTCAGGGCCTCTTCGCCTTCGAGAACCTCCAGGTACGTGCCTGCTATCCTGGGACGGAACCTCCATAGAGTGGTGCAGGGATGGGGTGGGGAACTGACTCCCAGAATCCCTTTCTCCAGAAAGGAGAGCTCTGAGTTTCTGAGCGATGGCTAAGATATGTCACTGCAGCTTTAGCTCTAGAAGGGCCTGAGGCATCATCTAGTCAACCCTCAGAGGGCACTGGAGACCCAAAAAGGCTAAGGGATCTATCCACAGTCACACAGCATTTTGGAAGCAGAGCCAGGATTAGAACCCAGGGAACCAGGTCTCTTGGCTCCAGGTGCAAGACCTAGCCCCCAGATTGGGTCACGTGACTCCCTGCTACACATGTGGAAGAGAGGTTGGTTCCCATCTGCGACAGTGGCCCAACCCCGTGAGACAGTGAACTTCCTGTCTTGGACGCTGATGCACGGAGGGGATTCCTGCTCAGGGTGGGAGGGGAGGAGGCTCCTGGTGGCTCCCGGTTCTGCCATCCTGGGGGTGTTCCTCCCGGAGGTGCCGGGCAGGCGGGAGGTGCTCAGATCTTCCTGGAGGTGCTAATCACAGAGAGGGACAGTAGGGGAGCGGGACCCGAGGCATCAAGGGACAGCATTGATGGCACCTATAATGAGGCCCAGGAGGGAGCAGCAGGCCCAGAACAGCAGGCAGGTGGAAGGGACCGACTCAGGACTTGGGTTTCCTCGTCTCTCAGATCTAGCCTGGCTGCGAAGTTCTGCGCCATTGCCCTCCTGGCCGGCTGCGGTGAGTAAAGGCTCTGGGGAGATTCCACCTCCTCTCCCCCCTCAGCCTTTCTCCCATGACCTTGGGCGCCCAGGTTCTCATTCCACTGACTGGTGGCAAGACCTCGGGCCTGTCGTTTCTCTCTCTGGGCCTCCACTTCCCCGCTCAACCCCTTGTCAGGCTTCATCCTCTCTCCGGGGCTGTTTACTCCTCCAGCCACCTGTAAACACGCCAGGGGCAGCCGGCTTTTATGAGCCTCAGGTGGGCAGGGCTCAGAGCTGAGCAAGCCTCATAAAGTGGTGCCATTCGCTGGGCGTCTGGGCACCACAGCAAACCTGGGTGTTTGCGTAGATGGGAATGCATGTTTGCATATGTGTGTTTGTGTAGACAGGAGCTAATGAGTCTGTGTGTGGATACACACATGTATCTATGTGTGAACAGGTGTGTCTGAGCATATGGTGATGTCTCTGTGTAAACATGTCAATAAGATGTCTAAGTGTGTGTTAACTGCCGTGTGTATGTCTCTAGGGTGCATTTGAACCTAGGGGTGCACATACCTGCAGACAGTGTGCGTAGCAGCGGTGACTATGTGTGAGTGTACAAGAAGACGGTGGAGCAGGTCTGGGGACGCCTTTCCCAGGCATGGCGCTCCCGGGCATGTGGATCCGGGAAGCTGAGGCTCCTGACACAAGTCTGACCCTGCCCACATCCAGATGTTCCAAAACAGGTGCCTCAGGTGGGCGCAAGGTGAACCGAGCCCCTCACTGACTTTTCACGGAGCCTGGTAAACATCACCGGACCACAGCCGGGCTTGGGGGAAGGAAAGAAAGTCCAGAAATAAAAGAAGGTTAAATGTGGCCAGACGCGTTGGTTGAATTCAGGCAGTGTAGCCTGTTATTTACAGAATAACCACTTGAGTTCAGCCCAAACCACTGGCGGGGACAGAGTCTTCGGCCTGACTAGACGCAGATGTCATTCCTGTTGCTTGGAGTGGGAGTGCGGACGTGGCCTCAGCTTCAGGCCACGGATTCCACTCTGGGTGCTGTGTGTGTCTGTGTGCGTTTGTGATGAGTGTGTGCACACATGTGTACAAGTGTGTGGAGAGTGTGAGGTGGGTGAGAGTATGTTTATGTCTGTGTGCATGTGTGAGTGTAAGAGCGTGTGTGCACGCATGTGCTCATATGTGTGTCCACCGTGTGTATGCCTAGATGAATTTCTTCTCGCAGCCTGGGAGCCGATCACTGGGGGACCCTGGGGGCTGAAGCTGCCCCTCGGGGGTAACACCTGCACAGTTAGCAGGTGGGTGGGGGGTTGGAGGTGGAGGGCTTCAGGCTGGGGGAGCGAGGAGGCCAGGACTTCACCGGGGGTGGTCCCTCCTCCAGGCACCCTCCCCGGGGTGCCCTGCAGGGGAGTGTCATTTACTGGCCGTCCTCAGACTTGGGAACTGAGGTCACAGAGGTTATGCAATGGCCCACGGCCTTAGGGTGCTGATGAAGAAACCTGTTGGTCTGCCAAACCCGGGTCTGTCTGCCTCCCAAGCTGCTCGCACGTACATTTTCCTACAGCAACAAGAGCCCCGCAGAGTAGGAGGAAAGGGTGGAGAGGAGCCAACGTGCCCGGGAGGGTCCCCTTGGCCCCTGTCTCCTTCTCCTTCAACAGCCATCAGGCCACATCTTCTGTGTGCAGCTCAAGACGCTCCGGCCCCTGGACTCAGGTCCTCTCTCCCTGCCCTGGACCCCAACGTACACATTTAGATGGCTCTCAACCATCCTCTTTGATCTGTCATTTCTCCCTACTCCTGCCTCATTTCCTCTCTTGTTTGTTCCTTATTCTCTGTAATGATGAAAATCCCTAAGCCAACAGACAGGAAAACTCAAGTGGAGCAGGATTCCCAAAGTCAACCCACTGACAGGGAAGGCAGCCCTGGCGCAGGGTCTCCACAAGCCCCAGGAGGTGGCGCCGTGGAGGGATCGAGCATCTGGCCCAGACGCTGAGCCGGCATTGGCCTGCCTGATCTCTGGCGGTCAGGATTGTTATTCCCATTTTACAGAGGGGAAAACAGAGCCCCCGGGAGTTTTAGTTATGGGCCCAGGTCTGTCTGACTCCAAAGTCTGTGCTCTTCCCTCTAAGGCATGTTGAGGTGGTGAGCTCCGCATCAAGAGAGATGTTGGACAACCACATCTCAAGAAGTGAGTCTCTGCGGTCTTTGGGGTTCTACCCAGGTGCCAGTTCCTGAAATTCTTGGTTTCCTCCCTCTCACAGTACATTTCCTCTTTTGGGCCATGGAGGAGGGTGGGGAAGGTGGAGAGAGTAGGGGCCAGGATGCTGAACTGGGCACCGAGCCCTGTGCACAGCTGGCGGAGCCCCAGGGAGGGGGAGGCAGGAGGGAGCTGCACCACATGGCGGTTAGCATCCCAGCCCTGGGGCACGCAAGCCAGGTTCAAGGCTGGGCTCTGCCACTTCCAGGCTGTATGACCTGGGCAAACCTTTACCTTCCTGAGCCTTAGTTTGCTCATCCATAAAATGGGGCGAGAGAGGCTCTCCTGCCTGTGTGTGGGGAGGCCTCGCCCAGGTAAGGATCTAAGCACAGCCTCCGTGTTCACTCAGCAATGAGCCAGGAGGCAATGTGGGGGAAGCACGGGCCGCCAGCCCAGGAGGCAGGGAGCAGGGAGGGGAGGCAGGCCTGCCAGGCACCGGGAAGCTGATTCTGCTGGTATGGGAAGCTCGGTTGCACTATTGTTTCCTGTGAGACGGGGACAAAGGGAGAGACGTGTGCGTGTGCACGCGTGCGTATGTGTGTGTGAGGGTGTGTGTGTGTCTTCATTGAATGACCAGAGCATCCTATTGTCTCTAGATTAATCCTGAGATGCACCAGCCCCAGGACTGTGATGGGGACATTGAATCACCATGGGGGCAGAGGGACCAGGCCAAGCTGGAAGGGCCTAGAACAAGCCCCTGTGTTCAGAAGAGCACGTGGCCTTTGCAAAGCTCCTTACAGTTTACCGGGCTCTTGGGCTCTCTCTGCCCGGGTCCAAGCTCTGTCTCCACGGCTTTTCGACAATGTGTTCTTGAGCAAGTTACTCCGTGCTCTGGGCCTCAGTCTCCTCATCTGTAAAATGGAGGTGATAACGGCACCTGGTAGGTTGCAGTGAGTGCTCAGTGAGTTAATGCAGGAAGCAGCTGAGGACAGCGCCCGGCCAGAAGAAGCCCTCCCCAAATGGTAACTACGATTCCTTTCTCAGGGCCGTAGGGCTTACTGTGAGAATGTGGGTAACGCACCATACTCCATGCTTTGTAGGTTCCTTCCTTCCTTCCTCCTGCTCTACCTCCCTCCCCCTTTCCCTGGCCCTGGGGTGTGGGGGGCCGGTCAGTGAGATGGCAGGGAGCTCACAGCACCCCTGTTCTCTTGCAGTCCTGCCCGCTGCCCACAGCAGCCTGCTCAACCTGAAATCCATGGTGGAAGCCATCACGGGGAGAAACGCCATCCTGTCCTTCGTGGGCTACGGCTGCTTCTGCGGGCTGGGGGGCCACGGGCTGCCCATGGATGAGGTGGACTGGTAGGTTCCAGGGCACCTGGGCTGACGTTGGGAACCGGGTGGGGGCCGCGAAGGTCAGGCTGATCTCCATCTCTAGGAGGCAGGAGAGGGCCCTTTCCCCAGAGGATGGGGCTCGTTCGATGAGTTAGTGACCAGGAGCCTGGCCTGTAGACACTTTCTGTTGTCCATCTCCAAGGTCTTGGGCCTGGAGACATTTGAACTCCCATTCTCATGGGAAGGAAACTTTGATCTGCTCCCAAACACATATGAGAGCAGCTGCCACCCAGCTCATGCTCCACGAAGGTGAAGGCTGTGATCCCCACCCCCTCCGACTGGAGGCTCGAGAGGGGGGACATGCTTCCTCCATCAGACTGGGACTTCCCAGAAGCCATGGCTTGTCTTCTGCTCCTACTTCCCCAAAAGAAGCCAGCACCACGTCTAGATCACTGGGGCCTTAATAAATGCATGTTGACTAACTGCCCTCCCTCCACTGGAGGGGATGGGGACAGTTACATCGCATTTGCTTCCTGTCCCCCACCCCCAACCCCCACTCAACCCTCCAGACCTTCATCCGTCTCTGGCCATCGTGCACAGCTAAGCATGACCTCTGCAGATAGCTGGTCTCCTCTGATGACTTAACCCTAACCCTCCCTCCCACCTGGACCACATTGCCTGACCTCCCCCGCCGCAGCTTCGGCCAGGGATCCAAGAGTTTATAAAGCTGGGAGCCTGGGCGTAGGACAAAGAGGCAGGATTGTGGACAAGAACCTGGAGCACAGGCCCAGCTCTGCCTGGCTCTCCGACCTCGGGCAAGCAACTGGCCCCCTTTGAGCCTTCGACTGAAGGTCTGACTCGTGAGGACCTGGAGCAGATGATCAGTATCTCTGCCCGTAGGAGACGGGCCAGCCTGGCTACACCTGTCTGCTCTCCTCTACCCGCCCCCAGGTGCTGCCACGCCCACGACTGCTGCTACCAGAAGCTCTTTGACCAGGGCTGCCACCCCTATGTGGACCACTACGAGCACACCATCGAGAATAACGCCACGATTGTCTGCAGTGAGTGTCCCGCAGCCGCCATCCAGCCCCAAGAGAAGGGCATGGAGCGCCAGCCCTGCCAGCCTGTGCTGGGGGCTGTGCGCAGGGTTGCCAGATGAAATACAGGATGCCCGGTTCGATTTGAATTTCAGATGAACAACAAAAAAATGTTTTCACATAAGGCTATCCCAAATATTGCACAGGACATACTTATACTAAAAATAAAATGTTAGCATAAAACTCATTAGTATAAAATTGAGAATTAGCATGAGTATGTGCGGTGCAAAATTTGGGGCGTACTTATGCTAAAATATTCATCATTTTCTGAAATTTGAATGAACCAGGCTCTTGTTTTGTTTATTTGTCTGCTACATCTAACAACCCTTGCCATGGTTCTAGCACTTCTCTGTGATGTGCTCTGGTCCTGCAAACTGAATTGGTACCTTGGTTCTCCAGTCCCCAAGATTCTTAAGCTTTGGGGAGCGATGCTGATTCAGCGGGTCTGGGTGGGCCCAGGAATCCGCTTTCAGCCAGATCCTCAGGTGACTCTGAGACTTTGTGACCCGCTTACCTGGGAGTCAGGAGACCTGGGTTTCAACCTGGGTCCTGCCAGCACCTCCTCATGTTGTAACCCTGGGCAGGGTCATTCCCCACGTGGCCTCAGTCTCCCCATGGGTACATGGACGGGGTGTGGATCAGAGCAGATCTGTCCCCTCTTCATCTGTCATTGGGGCCCCACCAGGCGGTAGCCCCACCCCAGGATACGCAGGGTCTCTGGGCATTGGAGGGATGGGAGCCCAGCCCGGTGGGGTCCCTCCTTTCCCACGAGCTCTTCATGGTCGTCCCCCAGCTGTGGGGTGCGGCATCCAATCTAATAGCCCAGGTGTCCCTGCCCTGTCCCTCCGTGCTGCCATGGGTGGCCCGGGGCTCCCTTTGTCTCCTTGTCTCTCTGTACGTCGTCCATCCCTCACTGATAGCGAACAAGCAATGCCAGCTTTGCAAAGAAACTCTCCTGTTCTCTGGGAAAGAGTCTGGTGGGGAACTGGGCACGCCTGGGGCTCCCTGGGAGCCAGGACCCTGTGGTCTTCGTATTCTGCTGCTCGAATGTGGGGTGAAGGACTGGCTTGAGAGAGGGGGTGTCACCCCAGGAAAGCAGTTCAAGGAGAGAAATCTGTCCCCCGCCCCAGCAGGCCCTGGATGAACCCAAGAGTGGTTTTCATGCTGGTTCTGGGGATTCTGGGGCATTGGGTCAGCTGCTGCAAGATTGGAAGGGGTGTCCCTGAGTGGTCCAGTGGGCTCTGTAACATATACTATCGTTTAAGTGGCTTCTCTTTCTGTTTTATTTGATATATTAGCCTTACTGCAAGGAGTTTCGTTTAAGAGAAGGGATTCTGCTGATGGGAAGTTTGAAAAGTTTGCAAACCATGGGGCTAGTGGGTGATTCTCAAAGGGTGTTCCCCGAACCCACAGCACCAGCATCATGTGGGAACTCGTTAGACATGCAGATTCTCAGGCCCTGCCCAGACCTGCCGAATCAGAAGCTCTAGGGGTAGGGTCCACAGTCTCAGTCTAAACAAGCCTTCCAGCTGATTCTAAGCGCACCTAAGGATGAGAACTATCGGGTAGGTGATTTCTGAAGGCTGATAATAATACCACCAGCAACAGCAATGGCAGTTGCTAGTTATTAAGCATTTGCTTCATGGCAGGCACCGAGCCAAGCTCTTTATAGGTGCTTTTCTCACTCATCCTCACCACGAACTCCCTCCAGGATGGGTGTTCTGTGATTTTGTGACTTAAGAGAGGAGGCCTGGGGTGGTAGAAAGTAACCGGCCCGGGGATGGGGCGTTCCTGACACCTGAGTTCCTGTCCCACCTCTGCCTGTGGTTCTGGGGGACGTAGATAAACCCATCCTCCTTTCTGGGCCTCAGTTTCCCCAATTATACAATGTCCTGGTGGACTTCAGTGGTTCTCCAATTTTAACATTCTCCAGAGTCACCTGGAGGGCTACCGACACAGACTCCTGGGCCCGGCCCAGAACTTTTGAGCCCCGCAGGTCTGGGGTGGGCCTGCTGATGCTGCTGGCCCCAGGACCACATTCCAAGGGCCCCTGGAACCTCAGGGTCCATGTGCTCTCCTCCCCATAGGTGAGCTCAACAAGACAGAGTGTGACAAGCAGACTTGCGAGTGTGACAAGAGCCTGGCTCTGTGCCTCCAGAGCCAGACGTACAACGAGGAGCATCGCAACTACCTCAACATCTACTGCCATGGCCCCACGCCCAACTGCAGCATCTACGAGCCGCCCCAGGAGGAGGCAGCATCCATACATATCTCCCCGGAGCCCTCTGCACCTCCCTAGTGCCTTCTGGGGTCTGAAGGAGAAGAGGGGTGGAGGTTCAGGCTCTGGGGACCCGAGGGATGGAGCAGGTGGAGTTGAGGGCAGATGGGGAGCCCACGGGCTGCCTTCACCTTGCCCTCTAGCGAGACCTGCCCCCAGAGGACTCAGGAAGGCCTGGGCCCTGACTGTGGCCTCCTAGCTCCTCCAGCCCAGCACTGGGTGTGGCTGCATCCTGGACTTGGCAGGGAGCATGTGGCTTGTTCGGGTCTCTCCTGAGTGTGGAAGGGGAGGCCTGAGAGAGAGGAGGCTGGGGGCTTCTGTTGCTGGCCCTAGCTTGACTTGCTCAGCTTGGGCTTCAAGGTTGGGCCCTGGTGTCTTAGAGACCAGACCCTGAGCGGCCAGCACAGGCCCAGAGCTTGGTGTGTCTGAGGACCAGGTTCCCAGGCACACAGACTGCTGGTCACGAGGCCTGGGTTCTGGGGGCCCCTTGGCTGCTCCTGCAGGATGAGTCAGGATGATCCCTGCTTTGGGGGCCTTGTGGCTCTTTCGAGCCCCATTAGACAGCAGGTGGCCTATCCTGGCCTTCGTCAAGGTGGCCCAGGAGTCCAGGTCCAGAAACCACAGGATAGCAACAGTGCTTAGTGACCCAGCTCTGCAGTCTGGCCTCAGTTATCCCAGTTGTCTCAGAGCAGGCTCCTGGCACTGACGGAACCCACATGTGCACCTGTCGGTGCACAGGGACCAAGATGGGGCACACTCGCAATGCCCCTCACACTCACAGGTCTTCCTCTGCCTCCCCCACTGACCCTCTCACATAAGAGTCACATCCTGGCCCTGCAACATTGCACTGCTCCGAGGGGCACCCCAACCCCGGGATTCCCGGGTCCCTGACAAACATGGGAGAGGGCAAGGCCCAGGCCCCTCCCCATGCACTTCTCCTCATGCAGCTGCTGGGCCAGTGGGTGGGAAGACCCCAGACTCTGCTCTCCCTGGGCAGGGAGAGGCGAGGCTGCAACCCAGCATCAGAAGCCCTCTCGACAGGAAGGAGGCTGAGGGCTGGGACCCTCCTCTGTGAAGAGGGAAGCAAAGCAAAGAGACGGGGTCCAGGCAGGAGGCCGCATGGATGATTCAGGAAGGCAGGAGGGAGGGAGCAAGATGCAAAGAGGGAAGGGAGAGGAGAAGGTGGGAGAGAGGTGAGACCAGGTGAGGGTCGGACGTCCAGAACAGAGTGGTCTTGGCAGGGGAAGCGGGGTAGAGGAGATTTGGGGGGCAGGGACCCCTGGGATTGTGGCCAGGGGTGGAGGAGGACAGGCCTCAGTGGGCCAGCTTTCTTGTCTCTGCCCAGCACTTGTTTCTCCAGGTGCACCTCCCCCGTCTCTCTTGCCTCATCTCTTGACCTCAGGGTCCGTGGCCTCCAAGTAGCCAGTGTGCCTGCCTCACCCCCACCTTCTGCCTTCATCTGGTGTCAACCTTGAGGACCTACTGACACAGCGCTGCGACCCTCCTGGACTCCATGAACAGCCACCAGGAAGCTCAGCCCACCCCGCCGGTGCCCCGTGGACCACTGTCACTGGGGGAGGGGCAGCGAAGAAGGACGGAGGCAGGGAGAGGAGTGGGGGTGGGGAGAGAGCTTCTACGGAAAAGATGGCAGGACTGGACGGAAACAGAACACGGGCTTTGGGTACTGAGGGTGAGGCTGCCGGCTGACGTCAGCTGTCAGTGTGTGGGAGGAAGCCCTTCCACCGCTCACCTCCTGCTGGCCGGCCATGGTGGGATGGCTGGGTCCTCTGTGTGCCCTGACCTGACCTGTCCAGTCACTGAGATCTTCTTCTTCTACCCTCTCAGGAGCCCAGTTAACAAACTACCTTCTTTTCGCCATTCTGGGCTGGCCCATCATCACTGAGCAAAGCCCCCACCAAGCAAGCGTGGAGCCAGCACCGTGCACCAGGCGTCGCCCCGGAGCGAGGACTGCGGAGGCCTCGGCCCCTCGCCTGTGGGAGCCCGATTTCTGCTGTGCCCCTCCGCACGTGCACACATCCTCATCTCCTGGGAGTCCGGCCAGTGTGTCGGGATGAGACTCTGCTGCTAAGGAGTCCTGCTGGCCTGGATCTCACCCCAGACCCTCCCGGATGCTGCAACCCCCAGAGATTCTCCACGGGACTCGGCACCCCCTCTGCAAATGAATAAAGGCCTCCTGCCTCAACTCCCCGCTGCTGGGTCCTCCTTGGCATGCACTCAGTGGCCCAGCATCAGGGGAGGCTGCAGTGACTCCCTCTTGGGTCCCAGCTCTGGGGAAAGCAGGTTGGCTGACACCCAGCATGGCCTGTCCCCTCTTGTCCCTGGCCTGAGCGAAGTGGCCCTGCTCCAGCAGAGGCAAATGTTGGGAAGGTTGGAAAGTGGCACTGAGGCTGCAGTCACTGTGGTCCAGCAGTCAGACAATGATAACTACTGCTAGGCTGAATGTTTGTCAGGCGTCAATCACCACAATGCTCTCCCTCCACCCCGCCCTTCGCTGTCGAACCCCTGAGGCCCGGAGAGGGAAAGTAATTTGTTCAAAGTCATACAGGTCACGTGTGGTGGGGCTGGGATCCGAATCCTCAGCATCCGACTTTGAAGCTCCCCTCCTCACACCTTCATAATGATGACTTGGGCAGCTGGGGGCAGTGCGAGGAGCGACTGGGAGTCCAGCAGATCCTGGGGCCCAGTCCTGGCCCCTTCTCCGACTCGAGTCTCTTCCCTGTTATGGGCCTCAGTTTCCCCATGCGCAGAGTGAGCACAGCGGCTGTTTCAGATGCTCCCCAAGCCATGAGTTTCCCTGGAGACATCCAGGGGAGATCTCCAGGGAAGGGGAGGCTGAGCAGATGGCACCCTGCCTCCCTCAACTCAGCCTTCAGTGGAGCAGCCCTGCCGTCCCTGTCTTGTATGTGGAGCTTTCACCTGAGTTACTGTGAGAAGAAAAGAGACTCTTCAGCTAAAATTGTTTAAAAGTTTGAAAACCCTAGGACATGATTGATCATCCATTAGTTCATTCATTCAACGGACCTCTATCGATGGTCTCCTATGGACCAGGCATGGTGCTGGGCTTCAGGGTGGACGCCACTAATCAGACACAGCCTCTGCCTGCGGGAAGCCCACAGCCTAGGGGGGGAGGCAGCCATGTGGACTGACAGCCTTGACACATGTGCCAGGTGGTGTCAGGGGAGCGCAGAGGATGAAGCCCCAGTGCATCCATGACAGTCCTGGAGAAGGTTTCTAA